TCGTAGCCGTGAAGGTTATGTACATGTCCTCAGAATTAAGATTCCATGATGTTGCAGTGTCTGACAAGTTGTGTACGAATGGTATATAATACCGACATGAGATTAAGACACATATGCAACATCTGGGTATCTTTATTGTAGACGTTTCGCCATCCAGTGGCTTTATCAATACAAATTCTAGGACATAACTTGAAGACAGTAGAACTATGTACAGAAGATGAGGTAATCAGTCCCTCAACCTAGGAGTAGGTTGAGGGACTGATTACTACAACTACTACTACAACTAACCCATCTCTTTGGGAAGGACCTACTTCCACTGGGGAATCCCGCCTACCAGTGAATATGCCCTCGTCTGCTACACCTGACGTTACTATATAAGCGCCAGGATCCTGTCTTCTGCTTCAGAATCTCCACGACTATGGTGCTCTTCGCACCTACTCCTAGGTTGAGGGACTGATTACCTCATCTTCTGTACATAGTTCTACTGTCTTCAAGTTATGTCCTAGAATTTGTATTGATAAAGCCACTGGATGGCGAAACGTCTACAATAAAGATACCCAGATGTTGCATATGTGTCTTAATCTCATCTTGTCGGTATTATATACCATTCGTACACAGAAGTAGCAAGACATACCTGAAATCTTGCATGTTTATGAGACAGACAAAAGGACACCAGCAATCCTACCATCATGTAAAGCAATTCCAGGCTCTCGTTTTACACTCACTTGGCAGGACGGTAGTACCTCCCTGGGTGGTTGCTGTCTACCAACCTACTACCTATAATACATTGTAATTGTAGAAATAAAATTATTATTATTTTTTTTAACACGTCAGCCATCTCCCACTGACCCAGGGTGATATAATTTCACTGTCTTTGTAAAGACATGCAGATATGACAGCTTAGATGTCACTCTAAACTGCTGATATCCCAAACTCCTCCCTTAAAGTGCAGGCATTGCACTTCCCACCTCCAGGACTCAAGTCCAACTAACCATTTTCCCTGAATCCCTTCACAAAATATTACCCTGCTCACACTCCAACATCTCGTCAGGTCCCAAAATCCATTCGTCTCCATTGAGTCCTATCAAACATGCTCACACATGCCTACTGCATGTCCAGGCCCCTTGCCCACAAAACCTCTTTTACCCCTCCCTACATCCTTTCCTAGGACAACTCCTACCCCTCCTCCCCTACACTACAGATTTATACACCCTCCAAGTCAACCTATTTTGCTCCATTATCTCTAAATGACCAAACCACCTTAATAACCCCTCTTCAGCCCTCTGGCTAATACTTTTAGTAACTCCACACTTCTTCCTAATTTCCACACTACGAATTCTCTGCATGATATTTACACCACACATTGCATTTTCCTTAGGCATGATATTTCCACTGCCTCCGGCCTCTTTCTTGCTACAGCATTTACAATCCATGCTTCACACCCATATATGAGTGTTGGTACCACTATACTCTCGTACATTTCCTTCTTTGCTTCCATGGATAACGTTTTTTGTCTCCACAGATACCTCAATGCACCACTCACCTTTTTTCCTTCATCAGTTCCCTGGTTAACCTCATCCTTCATAAACCCATCTGCTGACAAATCTACTCCCAAATATCTGAAAACATTCACTTCTTCCATACTCTCTCCCTCCAATGTGATATCCAGTTTTTCTTTACCTAACTGGTTTGATACCTTTATCTATGTGATTGGAAGTGGTCAAGAGTGATTGCCAGTCCAAAGTGAAGAATTGTGTCACTCGGGTATATATTCTGTATGCTGTGAACATATACTTTATATGCATATATAGATGGGGTCCAGTTAGGAGAACAACACCAAATTTGTGACACCCTTGGTTCCTAGGCTTTGCCAGCATATCGATTTTCTTGAGCCAACAGAGGTCATATAATAATAATAATTAACTATTTGACTGTCGCAGGCCCCTTTCTGAAACTCATTCTATGACGATAAATTTTTTGGGAAAAAAATAAATTATTTTTTCTTATGAAATGATAGAGAATCTTTTCCTGATGGTAATGACACCAAAAGTACGAAATTTGGCCGAAAACTCTCGGAATTACGCTCCCGCGAAGTTAGCGATCTTGGTGACATATACGCATCAGCGATTTCACCGACTTTGGGCCCTGTTTTTGGCTAATTCAGTTGTTTCAGTTGACCAAACTCATAGCTATTTCTTTAGAATTCCATTTTTTCTATCTGTTGAGTACAAGAAACTGCCCATTTACCGATTTGAACTACCCAATAAAGTGGTCAGGAATTGGCAATTTGGCCAATTTCACGCAAATTAAAAAAGATGCCAATTTCAAAATAGGGTCTAGAATAAACAATGTAGACATTCTTGGCAGTAAAATAGCATATCCTTTGTTCATTAGTCACATCTCTAGGCCCCTCTTATATTACTATTGCTTTCTATTTTGATTTTTTATTCATACAAAAAAATACCAAATTTACTGTTATGCAGACTACTGCATTATTGTAAAAATGGTATAAATAATATCAGTGCACTAGTGAAAGAATATTAGACTCCCCAGTTGATGTGTATTGGACGTGTGGTGTGATTTGCTTACTCCTGAACATTGGTAAAAATCGAACATTTTCGCTACTTTGAGCTCAATTTCAAGGTCGTTTTCATCGTGAAAGTAATCAAAATCATCTCTATTTCTGTAATATGTTTTCCATTTTATCACCTGAGACCATGAAAACGAGAATACAACGATAAATACTATATGAAAATACACCTCAAAGTCGGCGTTTTAATCCAAAAAAACGGTCAGAGTTTTTTTTTCTCATTACGCGCTGCGTGCTGCAGGATTTTTTTTATGTGGTGCACACTGACCACACAGACCCATTCTCTCACATGTGGGCCAACCAGCTTTCTCCCGCTTGATTTGAAGCCGCTGGAATTTACACGTATAAATATGTCAGAAACAGTGGTGCGTAAGACGTATATATACGACCGAAACAGTCAAAGGGTTAAACAATACACTTATGATGCACCTTTGTCTGCCAGAAACTTAGTTAAAACACTAGCATAAATGAAAGTCTTATGTATTATTGTACTTACAAAGAATTTTGCAGTAGTACCACTCCCAGAGTGGTAAATTTCAGAATTTTACTGAAGCTGCAGAGCTAATCACTAGCCATGGCTAGGGTTAATTGTCAGCAAAATATGCTAAACTGCACAAAATCAAGATCACCACAACTGCAGCATAAATAATGTAAATGAGCATGCATTACATACAGTGCCATCTGTGGCTGCCAGGTAAACTATTTTTGAAAAAAAGTAGTCTTGTAATTTCATTTAGACTAAAAGAGGTAGTGGATGATCTGTTGCCGGTAAATCAGCGTTGTACCTGTATGTACATAGTGTATATACGTATACTGTACCAGGGTGAGCCAAAAAATTGAAAGTTAGAAATGTCTGTCTCCACAAGGCTGCTTAGTACTGTACAGTTTAACCCTTTCAGGGTTTCCAACGTACTAGTATGTCTTACGTGCCAGGGTTATTGACGTACTAGTACGCATAAATTTTAGTGTACTCAAATCAAGCAGGCAAAGGCTGGTAGTCCTAGATGTGAGAGAATGGGTCTTCATTGTCAGTGTGGTCGATACAAAAATATCGGGGACCCAGTGGTGCATTGTGGGAAAGTCATTTTATTACACCTTGTTCACCATGTCTAGTGCTAAGAAACTCCTCACTCCTCGGCTAATTGGGGCTCTTTTGTTCCCAAGTGACAGTTCAAACACAGATGGAAGTGTCAGTGAAGATGAGTTTCATGGTTTTGAGGAGTTTGTGACTGAAAGCAATGCCCAGGAAACCTGAAGGTAGGAAGGATGGAAGAAGGAAGGAAGGAAGGTAGGAAGAAAGGGAGGAAGGAAGGAAGAGATGAGAGGAAGGAGGGAAGAAAGGAAGGAGGGAAGGAAGGAAGGAAGGAAGGAAGGAAGGAGACCATATACCTTGGATAACCCCAAAAATTCAGACAGTGACTTATTTCCATATTGGTTGGTGGGGTGGGGAGGAAGTTGAGAGGCAGTGAGGGTGGTGAGTGATGGTGTTATTTGCCATTGTGACACTAATTACACCAGTGACTCAGCATATTTACAAGTCCACCCCCACACAACATATATGAGCTTTACAGAAACTGTAGCAGTTCTACGAAGTGCCCAGTGACTTTATATGTGTATATATGTGATAGAAAAATAGTAATAAACAACATCTTTTATTGTTGGTTTGTGTAAGCATGTTTTGTAAACAATATAATGACAGCAAAGTTTGTGCTGTTATTGTGTAGTATACAATGAGTGAATATATACCAAATAGTCTTGATATTGGTCTTAGAGGCCAAAACAGTTAGTTGAAAAAAATAAAATATTAAAAAATAAAAGAAAAAAGTAGAAAAAAAAACTATTTCCGGGTGACCGGCAGTTGGCGATGTTGGCGACTGTCAACAGTTTTCTGTCAAATTCATGCCTCCATATCTCCATAAATATTGATTGCAATTTTTTTTTTTTGGCCTATAATACTCACAAAAAAAAAACTATCATTTCATAAGAAATTTTTTTTTTTCAAATATTTTTCGACCCTGAGAACAAGTTTGGGAGAGGGCCTGTTGACCCTGAAAGGGTTAAGTACAAAACTGTACATTATTACACTTACTTACAATATGCAAATAAATGGTAACTACATCTAAATTTTTTCTGTTATGTCTAATTGTTTCCATGTACTACGTATATATGACTACTTATATATGAACATATCACATGGCCAGCCTTGTGGTAAAAGATTTTTTATTTTGTGGGCTACCTAACCAGGTTGATACATGTAAACACTGTACTTTTTAATGTGTCTGTTATGTGTTGCAAGATTCAACATGTGTAATAAATTGCTATTGCATTCAGAACCTTTTCAGTATTCTGTATACAGTAATTTATTTATTAGAGAATTTTATACCATCAGAAATAAAAACTTTTATTCTAGGGGCCATAAGGATCGAAACTTTATCCTGCACTACACATTCCCTTCTTTTGCCACAAATGAAGTAGCGAAGAGTGGTCCAATTTCTCGACGGGAGGTTGGTCATGGAGCCTTGGCTGAGAAGGCTCTTAGACCTCTCTTGCCTTCAAACTTCCCTTTCACCATCCTTCTCACATCAACAGTACTGGAATCCAATGGTAAGTGTGATGGAAATTTTCATTTGTTGAAAGAATAATAATAATAATAATAATAATAATAATAATAATAATACATATTATAATATAATTATATATGTAATATAATATGAATTATTATAAGAATACGTACATACTAATAAATAATACATAATTATAAATAATAATAATACTATAAGCGAGTTTCTGAGTGCCACCACTAGATGTCAGTATGTGTATCAAAACATCGCCGCTCAGAGAGGGAGGGAAATTCTCGTGTTTTCCTTATGTTTCGTGCAGTTATTTTGCAAAATTTCTTGTTTCTAACCATGTTTCCTAAGAAAGCAAGTGCAAAGAACAGTGCTGAGAAGAAAAAAGAGGATGATTTCCATGGAATTAAAGCAGGAAATCATACATAAACACAGACTAGGTGTAGCATTAAGAGTGTACCATTAACCCTTAAACTGTCCAAATGTAGATCTACATTCACTTGCATGGCACTCCGAATATTTTGAAAAATAAAAAAAATTGTTTTTTTTTTTAAATGAAGAGCACATTTTTCTACATGTAATAAAATAAAAAAGAACTTTAGGGTCAGTACTTACCTTGATATAAGATCGTGAAGTTGGCACTGGATGCTCACCTGTCGACAACATCGACTCCTGCCTCTTGCAGAAGTGTTGCCAATATACCTTTTTTTCTCGTTTTTATTTTAATTTATATATTTTTTATGTTCTGATAATTACAATTTATAATAGTTCTTGTAATTTCAAAGCCAGTCTTTGTTCTGACACTAATATTAGGTACTGAAATAGTGCTCAAATAGTCACAATCACATTGACAGGTGAACATTTACACCTGCCTGGGTTACTATTGTCTAGAAATATATACAAAGTATTTATAGGTCCCAGCAGTGTTTTAGATACTCTGGCATATACCTTGAAGCATGTTGTTATGAAAGGCATCCCTATACTGTTGACAGTCCAGTGACATTTGATAAATGCCCACTGCTCCAGCTAACTCTCGCTGTATTTGTTATCACTGTTACACACAAACATGTCTTGTCTCTCTGTCTATTTATCTGTCTGTCTATCTGCCTGTCTATCTGTCTGCCTGTCTGTCTCTGCTTATCTGTCTTTCTGTCTGCCTAGAGTATAGGATATCAAACTCCTTGAAGAATCGTGTTATGACATTTGTTATCAGCTCGGTGACATTTGATAAATGGGTGCTCGGGGGAACCCTGGCTTTATTTGTTTTCACTGATACACACAAACATGTTTCTGTCTATTTGTCTGTCTGTCTGTATCTATCTATCTATCTGCCTGTCTATCTTTGCCTGGAATTTTTGGATTATCCTAGGTAATTTACACTATGTATAATAACTGTACTTAAGTGTACATGTGAGACAGAGATATAGATAAACAGAGATATAGATAGATAGATATATAGATAGACAGATATATAGATAGACAGAGATATAGAGATACAGACAGATAGAGATATAGACAGAGAGACAGCCAAAGCAAGCCAGCCTGTCGAATACATAAGTGGTGACGTGTACTTAGCTCAGTGAGGACGTTTGTGTGCTCTCCTTGGACTGAAGCAAGATGCCCTCCATCGAGCAACTTTACCAGCAGCTTAAGGAAGAATTGAGGGTAGCGAAGTTGGAGATAGGCGATTAACTGAGGAAAACAAGAGAATTCATAGTAGTCCTCCTGTTTTGAGTCCTCAGGTCAAGAAGGGAACTTGGACAGTGGCTGGACAGCATGGAACGAAGTTGACGATCAAGAAGAATGGAAAGACAGAAACGATGAAGAAGAAAGAGACTGCTGTGGAAACTGTTGTGGAAACATCTAATGCATTCTCCATACTACCCGACGAATGTGAGTCGACTACAGGGAACGTCACGACGAACGACACCAAGGAAGGTAAGAATACTGTAGTTGTTGGGGATAGCCAGGTTAGATACATGGATAGGGCCTTCTGCTTGAAGGACAGGAGTAGGAGACAGAGGGTTTGCTTTCCTGGGGCTGGGATGGAGGACATTGTTAGCCGGCTTGAGAACATCATGAACGGTAATGGGATCAATCCTATTATTTGCCTCAGTGCTGGAGGCAATGATGTAGGCAAGCGTAGAAGTGAGGATTTAGTTAGAAAGTTCAGGACAGCTATAGACATAATTAGGAAGAAGGGGGGCACCCTGTTATACATATAACATTTTGCCAAGAAGGGGTGTTGGAAATGAATGGTTGTCCAGAGCAATTGGTATTAACCCTTTGACTGTTTTCGACGTATAAATGTATGTCTTACGAGCCAATGTTTCTGACGTATATATACTCAATAATTCTAGCGGCTTCAAATCAAGCGGGAGAAAGCTGGTTGGCCCACATGTGAGAGAATGGGTCTGTGTGGTCAGTGTGCACCACATAAAAAAAATCCTGCAGCACACATTGCGTAATGAGAAAAAAAAACATTGTTTTTTTGGAATAAAACGCCGACTTTGAGGTGTATTTTCGTATAGTATTTATCGTTGTATTCGCGTTTTCATGGTCTTAGGTGATAAAATGGAAAACATATTACAGAAATAGAGATGATTTTCATTACTTTGACGATGAAAACGACCTTGAAACTGAGCTCAAGTAGCGGAAATGTTCGATTTTTACCAATGTTCAGGAGTAAATAAATCACACCACATGTCCAATACACGTCAACTGGGGAGTCTAATATTCTTTCACTAGTGCACTGATATTATTTATACCATTTTTACAATAATGCAGTAGTCTGCATAACAGTAAATTTTGTATTTTTTGTATGAGTAAAAAATCAAAATAGAAAGCAATAATAATATAAGAGGGGCCTAGAGATGTGACTAATGAACAGAGCATATGTTATTTTAGTGCCACGAATGTCTACCTTGTTTATTCTGGACCCTATTTTGAAATTGGCATCTTTTTTAGTTTGCGTGAAATTGGCCAAATTGCCAATTTCTGACCACCATATTGGGTAGTCCAAATTAGTAAATGGGAGGTTTCTTGTACTCAGCTGATAGATAAAATGGAGTTCTAAAGAAATAGCTATGAGTTTGGTCAACTGGAACAATGGAATTGGCTGAAAATAGGGCTCAAAGTCGGCGAAATCGCCGATACGCATATGTCGCCGAGACCGCTAACTTCACGGGAGCATAATTCCATGAGTTTTCGACCAAATTTCGAACTTTTGGTGTCATTACCATCGGGAAAAGATTCTCTATCATTTCATAAGAAAAAATAATTTTTTTTTTTTTTCAAAAATTGAGCGACATAGAATGACAATTTCAGAGAGGGGCCTGAAACAGTCAAAGGGTTAATTGTTGGCTGGATAAACACTGTAAGGATAATGCAGTACCATTCATTGACAACTGGGACAACTTCTATGGCCGAAATGACATGTATGCCAGGGATGGGGTTCACTTATCCAGGGCAGGTGTGGGTTTTCTTGCTAGCTCAGTTGAGTGGGTTGTTAGGACTTTAAACTAGTATTAGTTAGAGGTATGGGTTTAGAAATGATAATGAGTATGGATATATTGACTTATGCTCTGATATTAAGAATCTTAATAATAACTGTCATGGAGTAACTCTGGGTAATGATAATTTCAGAAATTGTGTAAAAACAAAGATGAATAGGAAAAATGTGCAGAAGAAAAAACATATGATGGTATTTTATTCTAACAGTTGAAGTGCAAGAAATAAGATTAATGAACTACATTTGGTAGCATGTGCTGGGAACTTTGATGTCATTGCATTAACTGAAACGTGGTATGATTTAAAGAGTCGGGATATGATTGCTGTGTAATATTCAGGGATTTAAGTTGTTCAATGTGGATAGATGTAATGGGAAGGGGGGAGGAGTTGCATTATATGTTTGAGAGAATATTAACTGTTGCACAGAAACAGGTAAAACTGATTCTAGGTGTAATATACCGACCTCCAGGCTTGGATCACGATAGAGGGAGACTTCTTTGGGACAAAATTGTTAGGGCTTCTAGACACAATAACATAGTGATAGTAGGGGATTTTAACTTTAGTCAAATTGACTGGAATTCTTTGACCAGTAATCTGGAGTCCAGTGACTTTATGGAAACAGTTCAGGACTGTTTTCTGAAGCAGTGTGTAACAGAGCCTACCAGGGGTAATAATTTGCTAGACCTAGTCTTGTCAAATAAGGAAACACTCGTAAATAATCTGGAGATCACTGAAGAGCTTGGCGCAAGTGATCACAAATCCATCACTTTTAGCATTAACTGGGAATACAAGAATAATGATAATACGGTAAAAAGCCCTGATTTTCGTTCTGCTGATTATAATGGACTTAGGGAACACCTGTCAAATCTCGATTGGGGTTATCTAGCTAATGATTCTATTGATGATGATCATGCTTATGATTATGAAGGGATCTCCATTTATGAGTTCTTTCTTAATAATGTACACCGTGCTCAGAGTATATGTATATACTTTCCCTAGAGAGAAATCAGGTCTAATAATAATGATCCCAAATGGGTCAACAGGAGGCTAAAGCATCTAATAGGGAAGAAAAGGGGAATTTATAGGCACATCAGAAGAGGAGAGGTTAACCTTACTGACCAATATGTTCAGCTTAAAAGAGAAGTAAAAAAGGGGATTAGAAAGGCTAAACATGACTATGAAATTAGAGTTGCTAATGAATCAAAGGGGTTCTTTCAAGTGTATAGGACGAAGGTGAAGGAAAAAGTAGGACCTCTGAAAATTGGGAATGGGCAGCTGACAGATAACGAACTGGAAATGTGTTCCATATTTAATGGCAGGAAGACATAAATGAGATCCCAGAAATTAGTAATTATTCAGTTCCTGACGAATTCAAATTGACTAATATTATTGTCACGAGGGACATGGTTATCAAATAGATAACAAACTGAAGCAAAATAAGTCCGCGGGGCCCGACGAGTTATTTTCCAGGGTACTTAAGGAATGCAAATGGAACTTAGTCAGCCATTAACGAGTGTGTTTAAT